GTTGTTCTTATTTCAAATCTTCAATCAGTCAAAATCAAATACATAATAATTCGAGCATTATGATTATACTGTTTTTTCTGTTTTTATTATAATTGCAAGATATTGATAAATAAATGTCTCTAAACATTTTCTGTAGTCGCATATAAAATTTTCTGTATGCTATAATAGCTGGCTTATTTTAAGCCCAAGAACATTAAGATTTATTTTTCAGTATAGTAGATGAGACTGATACTTAAAAGATTTTTCCTTTTTTAATCCTATTTAGTTCACAAGATATTTGGATATGGTTAATAAATATTACAACGTTGCAAAAAGCATCTAAGTTCTTCTTCAATATGAAGCTCTCTTTCCAGATAGATCACATTGACATATTTTGATAATTAAAAAATATGCTGTTACATTAATTTCAGTCCAATACACATTCCCAACCCTAACAAACCTCCTAGGTTTGGGTCGATGCATATAACGAGCCAACTTTTGCTATGTATGTAAATCATTGAATTAAACATCGGTAGGCTCGTTATGCATTCACTACAGGCAAACGTACATACATACATATTCTATTAATTGATTATGATTAAAATTAAAGACTATTAGGGGGGAAGGATGTAGAACTATTACTATGAGCCAGACTTAACATTGAGCCACTAAAGCTTTCATCGTCTGGATAAGATTCTTTTGATGCCTCAGCTATCGCCAGAGCACTGCAATAATTTGAAGAAAAAATGTATATAGGCACATCTACAATATTTCTTTTTAAAGTTCTTAAATCTATTTTTCTATTTTATAAAATGGCAATGAGTGATTAGCTTAATATAAATTTAATTACTTAAAAAAAGAAATGTAGAAATGAACAATTAAAACATTTTTCTATCCTGTTAACATTTATGACATTTAATCGAATAAAAACTAAATTATAAATTACATACCTGAATCCTATTCTTGCACTTTCCTCATCAAATTGTTGTAATTCACGTTCCTGTCTTTCATGTAATAAACGTATTCGCTCACTACGTTCACGAAGGAATTCCTGAGTTTCAAGTTCCATTTTTTGTTCAAGCAAAGCTCGTCTAACTGATACTCGATCTTCTAATTCACGACGTTCTCTATTTCTTTGCGCTTCAGCTTGCATTTTATTCTTAGATTGATACGCCATTAAAATTTCCAATTCATAATTCAATCTTTCCTATAAAACACATAAAAAATAATGATTAGATTTATAATGGTTTGATTCTAATACTTATAGTATATTTATTTTAAGTGTCATTTAAATTAAGTTCTAAAATTATAACATAAATTCCTTTTTATATTCAAACAAGAACTTTTGAAGAAAAAGTTTTTAAAATCTAGTAACTTTTTAAATAAATGCAGTATTTTACCTTGAGATTATGGCATTCAACTTCTTGTGATTCATCTAAACGTATACTTTGTTTCTGGAGCATTTCAGCAATACTTTGTTCATATTGATCACCCAATAATGCTAACTTCCTTCTTTGTTCTTCTTTTAATTTTTTGATAACAGTTTTTTGTTCTTCTTTAGCCGTTGTTTGTAATATTTGAGTTTTTAATGCCTTGTATTGTCGTGTTTGTATTTTACATGTTTCTCTAAATTGTTTTCGAATTTGCATTTCTTTTTGCTAAAAATAATAAAAAAAGATAAAAAACTTTATAAATGATTTAAAATTTATTTAATAATTTTTCAATGCTGTATACATTACGATTTCTAAATTTTAAAAGATTAAGGTCTATTACTTACTTTAAGACTCTTAGGCTGTTGTTTGAGTTCCAATGCGTGTTTTTTACGTAAATCACGTTCAGATCTTTGCATATAATCTTGCTGATTAGAAAGTTCTGTACCATGTTGTCGATGAACTTGATCTTCTCTAAGAGTATGGACAGCTCTTTGTTGCCTATATTCAAGTTCTTGTGTTTTTTCATGATGTCGTAATAACATATTATGTGCTTGTTCTAACTGTTGTTGTCTCTTATTTAATTCCTGTATAATAGAAATATATTTAGAATATAAAAAATATTTTAAAAAATATATTTACATATTTTATATATACATATTTTAAAAAATGTCTTTAAAAATGAATAACGCCGTTGATAAAAAAATTAAAAAAAAAAAGTTATTCATACCAAATAAAGAAAAAATACAATACTAACTTCTCGAAGTAGTTCTTGTTCCAAACTATGGAAAACAAGTAACTTTTTTCTACGGAATTTACGAATTTCGAGATCAAGATATTCTCTTTGCCCTCTTGCAAGCCGTTGCTCTTCTTGCGCTTCCATTTGTCGTAAATTGTCTTTATGACTCTGAAGTGTAGCGTCTCGTTGTCGCTTCGGCGTAACTTCATCTTGAGATAATTCCTTTTTCCATCTTTCTTTGTAAACCTTGAAAAAGAAAATCCCTAATCATAAAATATTATCAAGGAAGCATGAAGCTAACTTTTTCGAATTTGTTTAAATAAAATATAATAATTACATGTAATACGTAATATTCATTTTCTTACTTTGTAATCTTTCTTTTGTTGAGCTTCCAGTGCTTTGCGATCTGCTTCCTGTCTGCTTGTAATTTCTTTGTGAAGTTTTTTCTCAGCATTTTGGTTTTGTTTAAGTTTACGTTCTAATTCTTGCAAATGCCTCAATTGAAGTTTTTCCAATTCTTTACTAAACTGTTGTAAAAGAGTTTCATATTCTTTATCTAGTAATTGTTTATGGGATTCCATTTCCATTTTACAACGTTCTTCTAACTTTACCTATTTAAATAATTATGAACATGTTATTGAATAAAAATTATATAATATTTGAACACTCAAATTAACACTTACCAAAGCACCTTGATGCTCTCGTCTCATTCGTTTATATCCACTCATTTGTTCATGCATTTCTTCTTGCATATGTTCTTTTTGTTGTTTAGTTACAATTGATGTTGTCCTAATTGTTGCAAAATTATTGGCACCATGTTCAAGAAGATTGGCAGTGATACCGCCTGCTGACAGATTATGTCTATTTCGTACAGATCCCATGGAATAATCGTTTGTTGTATCAGTATTTGGCAGTGGCAGGCTATTGGTGGAGGAACTTTGAGAGCTTGCAGAAACACCCATTGAATGAATTGAATGCTCCGAGGTAATTGAATTGCTCTTGCTACTATCACCACCTGTTTGTTCATCAGGGGTATCTATGAAACACAAATAAAAATATAAATATAAAAGAACTGAATACAATTTCAAATGAAATTTTAATTGAAAATTTAATATACCATCAGCATCACCAACTGTACTTTCAGTCTCACCAGTATCAATCATTAAGATCTTCTTCATTTTCCGATAATTTAAATTATCCAATTCTCTAACAGCAGCTTTTGTTCTCTGAATTAGGTCTATTAAAACTTGCGGAGAACGTGTTCTGGTGACAAATTGATGCTGTAAAATTGAAAGCCTATAAGAAAACAACTAACTAAACTACAGTATATCTATTTATATGAAACTTGTAAAGCAGTACAAAATTTATATACTGCGGACAAAATAAAAATTTCTGTAAAAGACTCACTGATAACAGTTTACCAGAGGCTGGCCTTTCAGTTGGACTTTTAGTTAGACACACTTCAACGAAGTGACGAAAAACATCTGACCAATCTGGAGAATTTAAAGTTGGTGTGTCATTCTGAGCAATATGATACAGAGCACTCATAGCATTCATATTAAAATAAGGTGGTTTCCGCTCCGCTGAAATTACAATGAATATTTCCATGATGCAATAAATATTTTGGTATAATTTTAAATGATTTGAAATGAAAATAGATTAATATAATAATTAAATAAACATTTTGGTACCTAATTCAATACATGTTATCCCCAAAGACCATACATCCACTTTTCCATCGTATTGTCCTTCATCCATAGCTAATATCACTTCTGGTGCCATCCAATAAGGAGTTCCTACAAAGCTATTTGCTGGACACTTTATGCTCGCTGATCCAAAATCTGCCAATTTTACTGTACCATTTTCAGTAAGTAAAATATTTCCAGCCTTGACATCGCGATGGATTCTTCCAAGAGAATGAAGATAATGCAAACCACGTAGCACACCTTCACAAATTGCAGCTATTTCATCTTCTTTTAATGGTCTCTTATGAACTTCAATAATGTCTGATGCTGAACCAAGGCAATATTCCATTACCAACTACAATTAATTTACAAAATTTATCATCAACAATTAAGAAAATGAATTTAATTGAAATTAATTATGAATATATATTTATGAATATATTTATTTAAAATATTAATTAAAATAATTCTAAAAAAATATATACCCAGGCAGTGTGGTCCCTGAGATAACAGCCCTTATATTCTATTGTATTAGGATGGTTAAGTTGTCTAAGAAATCGAATTTCTTTCAAGATATCCTGCCACTTTTCGACAGTTTGTTTTCCCACGTATGACATTTTTTTGATAGCAACAATTTCTTTGGTAACCAAATATCGTGCATAATAAACAGCCCCAAAACTGCCATGCCCGATTTCACGTAAGTCTTCAAATATTTTCTCCGGATCATTTTTTTCAAATAATTCAGCAATCTCTGGGTCCTTAAGGCTACCAGGCCTTGGAACAGCTGGCATAGTAAAATATTAATAATTAAATAGCCAAGGCCTATTTTAGACACTATTAGACGTCTTTCAATCTTTTATCTTAAATTTTATAATGTTACTTAATCCTCTGTCAGTCCATTCCAAAATTTAACATTCTATCTGTGAAAAAAGACAAATTATATCAGTAACTTCGATAATTAATAATTAAGAACTAATTTATTTTATAGTATAAATTTACTTAGAAAGAATGAAAGAGAGACAGAGAAATTATCTTTAATCTCATTTAGTATTAAATTATAACTCATATAAAATATAACAAATAAAATGAACAAAATAAAATTAATTGATATTTCTATAAACTTATATAATATGAATTGAATTGTTTTTCGCTAAATAAATACGCGTGTAACGTATAACTATGTGCCCTATGATGCACAGTGATTTGCATACCTTCATTTTACATTTCGCCTAATTTAATTTTTTATAATACATTAACAGCAGTAAGTCTCTTAATAAGCTCGATAGCAAACAAATGTTCAACAAATACAAATACGTAAGTTTATAGAATACAATTAAAGATATTTTTTTCACTATGAAATGTATTCCTGTGTAATTAAAATGTGCTTGACACTTATCACGAGGTCCTCGATACGAAACACACCATTCTATCCGTGGTAACTCATTTGACTTGAATAAATATCATATGTTTTTAAAGGGAAGATCCGCAAAGAAGATCGAATTGAATACTACCAATAGTACGTGAAACTCTTAGGAAGCAAGCATTTTGGCGAAAGGAATCAAAATAATAGTAAAACTGGGGTTGGTAAGTAAAGAAGGCGGTCGAGTGAAATTCGCAGGAGGTAGAAATGCGGGCGTAAGGAGGGTTGGGTCTCTGACTCGAAGCAATCGCGTCAGATTGGTCCCGCAAATACAGTAGAGGGATATTGTCGGTGTAGCCAAAAAGGCTTGCCGTGTTTGGATGTACGACATCGTAGTCAGATCTCGGTATATCAACTGAAATTTATCAAAAACTCCGGCAACAGAGAAAAAATTGATATTCACCTCCAAAATGGCGAAGGAGCAGGCACAGAAGCATGCGCGCAGCTCCAAGCACTCTCTTCAGGCGGAGCACCTCTTTTTCCTGAACTTGGCCGATCCTTCGAGCATATTAAGATCCGAGGATCACAATTTTTTGTTGTGCAAACGCACCGCACCCCGGAAAAGTACACGCCTCGTACGTGTCACGCACGTACGCACACACGCGCGAGACGCGACAATCCGCGGTAACGCAACAATACGGCACCCACTATCAGTCGGACACACGAGAATTCGCAAACTTTTTGACGCCTTTTCGTCTAGTCTGGGTATACTCTACACAGCAGGCGAATTCTCCGACGACGGTGAGTGGCGCTCTACGTTGGTCAAGTACTAAACTAGAAAATATTACCGGTAACAAAGAGCTACTTTTTTACCAATTTTACTGAATAAAGCAACATTGATAAAAAAGAAAAATTGAAATATGCAATGTTTGACGTTATTTGAATTTTATAAATTCAATATAAATAAGAAATAAAAAGTAGAATTTGATTATAATACAATTTTATCTTTGACACTTTTCATTTTAGGTATGTAAGAAAATATATTTTATAAATTACTTATTTTATAGTTTTTCTTTTACAAATAACATATATGTTTTACATAATTTATACACATATGTGAATAAAATTATTTGTCAAAATAAAACTTAATACTTTACATACATTTAAAAATTTGGGAATTTTTAAAAAATTTTACTATGCTATAAAGATTTGATTTAGTCCAATCTGCAATACAAGAAAAGTTATTAATATTTATTTGTATTACATACGATTATATCTAATTTACATATTATACAAAAAGTGATTTTTTTAGCTGTAAATATGTAATTTGATATATGTGAATAATGCAAAGAAATGCTTATAAAAAACTTCTATAGGCATAAATTAATAATTTTATCACATTGTACATGTATTACTGTACTTTCTTAGGAGATGTGCCTATTAGAGGAATTTACACATATTTTCAAAAAATATGTATCAATATCACGTAATCAGCAATTTACATCACACATAAAATATTCAATTTTGTTTGATTATACATTTTCCAGGTTTTCCATTAACGACATTAAGAATGTGTTTCCATTTATTAGTTTCGTAGTGCAGATAACAAATTCTACGTTTACTGAAAATAGAAATTTTTCTCAAAATATATTATATATTAATTGTAAAGTTTCAATAATACAATAGATTTATGATATTACTTACAATCTTCTTGTTGAGATAGAAATCTCAGCGCCGAAATTTCTGCAAATGTACATCCTCCAATAAAGAAAACCATTATTAACTTTGGTGGTTCTGAATTAGAGTCTTCGCTAGTAATAGAATTTCCTAAAAAAATTATTTTATATATCACTTACAATGTAACCGAAAACATTTTTTTTACATCTATTTCTTACTTTTTCCAGATGATGATATATTAATAGTAGGACCCGGTAATAATCCCATAACATCATTTAAACCTTGCCAGCCATTTGGTTGTACAAGCTGCTCTGCTAGTCGAACACTTAGTGGTGCATATATAGAATGAACATAACTAATGTCTTTTGGTGTAATTTCACTTTCATCTTCAACAGTAAGTCTTAGTGTTTTTCGTAAAACTGCATACTGACGCGCAGATTGTTGTTGTTTTAATAATCCGGCTTTTTCTAAATTTAATATAGTTGGTAAATTATGATATCCATACGTGTGTATTATTTCTCTTTTATAATAATCCAATAATTTTGGTTTAAGTCCAGAATTTGTTAAAGATTGTATACAAAGAAGCCGTAAAACTTTTAAAAGTGGTTGTTGTTGTACTATCATATCTTCTATAAAGGTGTTTGGTTTATCTGTATCGATACAATTCAACAACTCTTGCTCTATTTGCAGTGATTCTAAAAAACTACTAGAATCTGTTACTTCTTTTATCATCTCTGCTATTGTTGTATCTAAGAATGAAATAAAAATGAGTATACAAAATTGATCACATTTAAATAGTTAAAATAAACTTACGTTTTGCTAATGATTGCTTAGTAGCCAACATATGTGGTAATCGAGCTATAAATTGTTTAATTTCTTGAACACTTTTATCTCCATGTCTTTCATCGAATTGTGATGAAATAACTTTAGCTTTTTTACTAAGGACAGGTCCTACTCCATTAAAATTTTTATCTCTATAATTAAAAAAACTTTGTAAAACATATTATATTAAAATATAAAAATACTCACCTAATTTCCGCAAATAATTCCTCTCCAGAATTTAATATAATTTGTTCTTTTTCATTAAGTGACATTGTTGTTGGGGAGTCTTGAGAATCGTGAAATTTTCTTGCTGGTAGTTGTACAGCATCTAAAATCATAACAATTATATACAATAAGCAATTAATAACAAATTATAATCAAACTACATATGAAATATTTTGTTATAAGATATACTAAAATTTAAAAAAGGTAAAGAATACTCAACTATATCTTATTCCAAAAATTTCATCTATTAATCCTTCATATGTTAATTGTGTAACTAAAGGTGAAAGTAAATCTACAGAACGGTCTATTAATAACAAATGTTCTATAGTAGATGATTGAATCAATGTTGTTTTATTCTCATCTTCTTCTCTATTCAATCTTTCCAATAATTTCCAAACTTTACTAGCAGCAGGTCCTCTTCCAGTAACTTTTGGAATTTTTCCATATAATCTTTGCAATCCATGAATAGCTTGTGCAACTTGATATAAGCAAGTAGGATCATTTTCTAAATGAAATTCCTTAAATGATCCACTAAGTTCCATGGAAAGGAGATCATTATCAAAAGGGAATAAGTCACATTTAAATTCTTCTATTAATGTGAAACTACCAAAAACACCACGATTTTGTAATTTTTTTTGACAAAGAAGACTTTTCCTTGGTACAAAAAACAAGTGAAATTCTTTGCGTGGTCTTTTTCCTTCTTCTCTACAAATTAGTTGTTACATAAGTTTCATCTTATCATTCATTTATTATCTTATTAAAATTTAAAATACATTTTTTTTATTTTGCACATACCCATGAATATTTTCAGCAATTAAATCCATAAGTCCTAACTGAGGTCTAGTTATGAATATTATATTAACAATGTTTGCTGGTATTGTCAAACTTCCACCACATAAAGGATACATTTTGACAACATCATGTTCTTCAAGCAAACTGTATTTTGCAACAAGACCAATTGGTCCTTCAAGAGATTGATCCCATATAATTGCCTGATGAAATATTGTTAGAAATATTAATTAAATTATAAATAAAACTCATTTCTAATTAATTTTATTTATTAAAATAGCAATCCATAACAATAACAATAGTATTTATCAATATATACATTATTGAAAAATTTGAAAGGTTATTTGTCAATACCTTTGTACCATCACATTTTTCAAGCAAACAGAGTAACTGTTTCCTTGCTTGTTTTTGTATAATTCCCACATTCAAACGTCCTGTTGATAAATGTGCCGATGACATGTCTTTAATTTAAAATTTTACCCACGACTATTCAACATAGACCAACTTCTGTCACTTTTGTATATTACTATAAATCTAGCTATCAGTGTTACCAATGTTATCTTGAAATTTCTTTTGAAATATACATAAAGATTTTCTATACAAATATATATAATTTTTTTGCATGTTTTTACATTCTAGATCCTGGCATTTTAACCATTATAGTTAACTATTATAGTTTTATTAATTACTAAATTTTCATAAAAAAAATCTGCAGTAGTTTTTTTCAGTTTCATGATGTTTGTATTATGTGCATAGAAACATTTAAATACTACCTCTTCAGACTCTCGCGCGAAAGATATTGCATATGATCGTATGTAAAAATACTTGATCATGGATAAAAGAAAATTAAAATTCAAAGGCGGCTTGCATAAAAATTTAATAGGAAGCCAAACATCGTCAAGTAGTAGCTTGTCGCAAACTAAATCTTTGACTGAACAGTTGCCAAGAAATAATAGTGTATTATTAGCCGGGAAAATTTTTTCAACTCAAAGTAAGTTCATCGATGAAATATTTTATAAGTCAGTGGAAATTATTAAGTATAATATTTATAGGTCAGAACAGATCATCGGACGAAGATATTTTTTTAAGTAAACCACGTAAAAGAGAAGAAAAAAATGAAGAGTCACGTAAACGCAAGTTGTCATGTCTTACTTCGTCAAAATGTGACAGTGATGTTGATTTAGGCTCTCCGTTGGCAGAATCTACAGTTCTAAAAAGAAAACGAGATAATTCTGACATTATATCAAGTAAATGTGAAAGTAATAATAAAAATTCATCAAATTTTTCAATAACTACAGAAGAAGATACCAATGAAATTTCTGTTGCAAAGTGTAAATTTCTTGAATTTTTACATGAATCAGGCATTAAGATAAATCCAGTTGTTCCACATGTACTTTGTAAGTATTAATTAATTATTTAAAACATGAATCATACGATTAACATTACATGCATATAAATTTTAAAATATATTCAATTATATTATAATTATATATTATAAACATTTTTAAATTATTGTAGATAAAGATGTTATAATTGTTCAAAAGAAAATGAAAGAATTATTAAATTCAAAAAAGTATAAAAAAGATGAGATGATTACCCTAATGGAAAAATATTTTGAAAATGAAGAGAATCTTAAAAATGCTTTAAGTGATATGGAATTACTTATCGATGGTGAAGTGTCAAATATTTTACATAGTTCATCTCTTATAAAGATTCTGTTACAAGTTTCAGAACTACATCCAGAAATATATAGCAATCTTTTGTCTAAACTTAATGAAGCTGTACTTATAGCGTATGTTTTGTACTATTATAATTCTTATAATTTTCCATTTTTTATGTTTTTATAATTTTTTTACACATATCTTTTTAGTGATTCCATTGAATCAGTACCTTGGGCTCTTCCATTATTACAACAGTTTCGCTTTTTAGATGTTGTAATTAATTCTGATGCCTTGGTCAATAGCTTAGAACAACTTTTGGAATCATGTCCCTTATGGTTTCAAAATGAATTAATTATATTTTTACCTGATATTATATCTGATAAACAACATCAAGCCATTGCTGAAATTTTGAATAAAATATTGGAAGATAATGCTGAATTAATAAATTTAATATTGGATTGTATGACTAATCTAAATCTTGGAAAAGAATTTTTGAATGAATACAAGGAAAAGACATTAAATTTATTGAAAACAAATGTTAAAGTAAATGCAATATCAGCTATTGTAAAGTATGTTTTATTAATTAAAAGTGCAATATAAACATATAATTTTATGTACAATTTTTATCTATCTTTTATTTTTTTACAGGTTTGTTTTAGAAGATTGTACAAACACAGAAATTTTTGAAAAAACATTAAAAGTATTGCGCAATATTGATATACAACCTCTTGTTGGAGACAAAATTGAAGAGTGTTATCAAAACCAATTAAATATTGTAAATACATTAAAAATGAATATGCTTTTGTCAAAAAATATAGTAAATGGAACTATGATAGTTATAAAAGATATTACTAAAGATCCAAAACCATTAGATATAATTCTTTTACTTCTTATATTTTTAACAACAGAAATGAAAAGAAAAGCTGTTGAAACTATATTTAAACAACATATACGATCTGGATTTTATAGAACAAGTTTATTAAATTTATTGTATAGTGATTATAAACAAGTTCGTACAGTACAATATTAAAATACTGTCTTTGTTAAAACTTTAAATAATTTATTTAAAAAGTTTTTTTATAGGTCATGCAAGAATTGCAACCGACTGCATTACAAATATCAAGTAATTTGTTGAAAACAGATGAACGTGTATTTATTGACTTTTCTACGGATTGGTTGCGTTTGCAATTTAAATGTCATAAAGAGAATATATTTAAACAACGAGAAATCTTGGAAAGAATTATATTTCTTATGGGTGATTGTGATCAAACAGTTAAAAATACATTGACATTTCTTTATAAAATGGTATTAAAACAGGAAGACAGACAATGTTTAACATCACACTGTAATCATCTTCGTATTTTACTTGAGAAGATGGATAATTTGAATTTAAAAGAAGTTGGTACATTGAATGACTTATTACAACATTTATGTACAAATTCTAATTCTATAGCTGATTCTCTACGTGATGACTTATTCATATTACTACAAAAACAACTATCTAATTTTAAACCATTGTATGTATTATCATTTAAAAAAACAATGAAAAAATAATTACCAATTTTGAAATCTGCTGTCAAAATATTACAATTCTCTAATTTTGAAAAAGATTTTAGCTGATCTTATATAATTCCGAAATAAAATGAAATATTACAATTCAGAATTCTGATCTCAGAAAAAATTAAAGTTAATCATAATTTCAGGATCATAAGTTTTTAAATTTTATAATTTTCTGATTATTTAGGCGATTTTAGCTGAACTGTTATCTTGATAATTTTTGAGGTAGTTACCCTTTCAATCTAATATCTGTTATTAGAATATAGTAAATTTCGTTTACTTCTTTTCAATCCTTTCATCAATGCTTCTAGTATTGTTAATATTAAAGTGTATATAAAAGTTTATTAAAATTTTGCTTTGACAGTAAATTCTAAGTTGGTTTTTAGTTTTCTTAAGATATCTCAAATATTGCACAAAATATTTTTAAAGTGAAAAAAAACATGAGATTCTAATTTTAAATAATTGTGTTTTAGCACAAAATGTAAAGGCGTTTTAGGAGCAGTAATGGCAATAAAACATTTAATGCAAAAAACAGAAGAATCTGATGCAGCAAATTTATTTAGTAAGTACCATGAAGTGCTTATGTAATGTTTATTATCATTTCTGATTTTATGTTCATTTATATTAATAACTATGCTAATTTTTTTAAATTTTATAGAGACAGTATTAAGTAATGTGAGGAATTGTCCAAGATCACAAGCTCTATTTTATGATCAATTAACTTGTATCATTTTACAAACTGAAAATATCAATGCAAAGTTTATAAAAAATCTAACAAATTATATTGAAGAAGAATTCATTAATACAAATATGATCAATAAGTCAAGTTACAGGTATATTATATTTTATAATTTTTAATACAATTTAATATAATATTTTAGTATCTTTATTTCATAAACTTCATAGTACCTTTATTAAATAAAATGTTTTATATTTAGAGGAACTTTAATACCTAAATTTGGATTGAATAGGGCTGAAAATGAGTCACAAAATTGTTTAACTTTTGAAGATAAAAAATATGGTGCGATTGTACCAATTTCTTTCAAACTTCTTAGAACTTGTCATATTAAACTTAATGAAAATAAAAATTTAGACGCCATAGATTCTCTTTTAGGATGTGCAATATTAATGCCGGAAGATTTTGATATAGCAGAAAATTCAGTAATGGATTTAGTAATATGTTGCATTAATTGGTAAGTTAAAGATTAAATAAGTAAATAAAAGCATAATATCAATTTTAGAATAAATAAACTATAAAAATTTATTTTAGGTTTCGCGAAGTAATCAGTGGTTTTGTTACACAAAAAGATTCTTTATTACAAAAACAAGTATTACAACGATTAGATAATTTGATAGATTTACAAAGTGAATTGAGTGTGTTATTTTCTTTGTGTGACACAAAATATCAACCACCTCCATGTTATTTTCATCAGTTTCCACTATCACCATTTGTAAGAATAGATAAAAAAGTTGGGAAAAAAGGAAAAAAAGAGAAAAAGAAACTCAAAGAAAAATCTGTTAATTTTAGTGAAATTAAAGATTGGGAAATGGGTTCTTTCATATGTTCTAAAAATCCAACTTATTTTAGAAAATTTGATGCAACGGTATCTATCTATTTTATAATATAACTTTTATTTATTTTAAAATAATAAAAAATTAATATTCAAAATATTAAGAAATTATTTACAATTATATATATCAAATGTTATGCATGTTTATATTTTATATTTATTTTTATAATTAACATAATATTTTGTAGATAGTACATCTATTAGATATAAAAATGGAAATGGATACAACACAATCTGTACAACATAGTATTTCCATAAAACGAGTATGTTTTATTGTAAAAGAGCTTCTAGGTATCTTTGAGCATGATAGTAATGAAAAATTTTTAAAGGATTTAATTGAATTATTACCAAAAATTTGCACAAAATTACAAGATATTATAAATATTTTAAGAGAAAAAAGTGAAAGTCGAAGTAGAGAAGCTGTTCGATTATTGTTGTGTCTTCTAACAAAAATTTTTAATTGGAAAGGATTTGAAAGTGTTACTTATAACATATTATTACGAGGTATGATGTTATACGTAATATAATTATACATAACATATTATAATTTATAATACATTTTAATAATTTGTATATTCTTATTTAGAGGGTCTACGAATTTTAGCAAGTCAACTCGATGAAAGAAATATTACATTAAGATCGTGTAAAGAACTTGTTACAGAATCTTGCAAATATTTCGAGTCCTTATCTGATATTGCTACACAAATAACATTATCAATTTCATTGATTAATGTGTGTCAATCATTAATGAAACATTCTGAATCTTATATTAAAGAAAATAAAGAAAAATATGGTGAGCAATATTATATATACGCGCACACATACATATATAATTTTTGCTATTATTTTTAGCAAAAATAGCATTTGGATTCTTGTGCCTTCAGTGGCCAGAAGACAATCATTCTAGCACTCAATATAAATCTGCTGTAATTGAATTATTAAATAATTGGATTAATAACGAACCACTACCATTACAAACAGTTACTTCAATTTTGGATTGGTTACCAAATGAAACTTCAAAATTGGAGAAACCTCAAAGTAGCTTAAGTAGAATACCTTCAATATCAAGAAGTAACTTTCATTTTTTATTTAAAAAAATGTTTGATGGTTTAATTAATGGTATAAAAACAGCTTTGCAAATAGCTGATAGGTATATCTTACACTTAATAGATATTTTTCCACATGAAATAAACATTTTATAAAGTTACATGTTTTTTTACCAGAGATCCCAAAAGAATAGATTTGTGGTACGAAGTAGCAACAAATGTACAAAAGTTAGTTCAGATATGTAAAACATTAACAACAAAAAGTAATATATTGATATTTTTAAAACATATGCCTATATTATTGAAATCTTTTTTAAATCTTGGAATGCCAATTCTGGAGCATAATTTAAAATATCAAACAGAAGAAGTAACTAAAATATTAAAGATGATGCAAGGTATAGAGTTTAAGTTATCTAATAAAATAAATATAAAATATTGATGAAATAAATAATTAAATATAAAATATTAATAAAAAGAATATAGATTATAAAAATGAAGTTTTTCCAGGAGGTACACGATATTTACACACAATATGTTGTGATACTGCTGAAAAAAAAGATCTCACATTAATGAAATATATTCCTGCAGCAAAATCTATATTAGAAAGATTAATTTACAGTGTAAAAGGAATGTTAGTTCTTAATAACAGCCCTGCTGCTTTTTGGATGGGTAATCTTGTTAACAAAAACTTAGAAGGTCAAGAAATTCTTTCTCAGGTTTGTATTTTCTGAAATATACAATCTTTTAATATCGCATCTTAATTTTATATTTTTATTGATATTTTTAGAATTTATCATCAGAAGAAAGTTCTGTACCAAATTCTAATATAACTGATGATGCAGATGTATCATCAGACATATTAGAAAGTGATTCTAGTGATGATCTTCTTGATGAAGATAGTATACCATAATATTTTTTGTATGAAAAACTTAAAAAAAGAATTTTACCAAACATAAACACTATAAAACAATATCTTTGTAATAACAGATTTATATCTTTTATAGACATTTCAATTATGTACATTTAACAGTATATTAATTGTTTGGAATTGATAATATAATTAACATAAAATTAACTATTAACTATAATTAACATGGAATACTATTTATAATTATTACTATTAATCTTTACATTAATTTATTATTAAATATTTGGCGTTTCCACGTTAAATCTGGCATAAGTGTTTCTTCAACAAATGTTAATTCATTATTTCCATTAACCAACAATATAGAATGAGTTCGTGTACAATATTCATCAGCTGATACAAAAATTGAACTGAGTTCTTTGTATTTTGTTGGACAACGTTTTTGCAATTCAGGATCTGGTAAATATCTATGAATATGAAAATAACATATATTAATAACAACATATAATATATAATTCTTTAAAAAATTATACATACTTTTCCTTTGATTTCAAAAATTTCAAAAGCTCTTCAATTAATCTTGTTTGTTTTGAGACCTTAACATTTTTAACAATATTCTCAAACATTTTTTTCCCTACTTCAACTTTTCTATATGGCATATCAAGACCACTATTACCAAAACCTAGGATATTATCTTGACTTGAATTAGGTCCTGTTGAATTATGGCAACTACTAAGATAGTTAATATCTGCATTTCTAAATAAATGAAAATATATGTTAATTTATTCAATTTGTATAAATTAATTTATATAAATATATGATACTTAAAAATGTAAGCATTATACTTTGATTATAAAGATATAGATTTATTTACATACTGTAAATTTATTAAAACCAAAACAAAAGGATTATATATTTGAGTTTTATTTTTTTTATGTAATTCATTTAAATATAAAACTGCAGAATCTTTTGATATAACAAAATTAGGCACTAAATATCCTCGTCCTTGTTTTGGTATATTAGTTGAACTTGCTTCAGTAGATAAATTTAAAACAACACCAGCTTTTCCTGTTAATGACAATGCTAGCCAAGTCCCACCTTCTTTTCCAGGCTCCATATCAGTACCTAATAGAAAATAATAGAATATATATAATAATTTCAAGTTTGGAATTTATCGCAAGTTTATATTACTATACATGAATTAAATATATAATAAATTTTAAATATACTTCAACTTACCTCCTAAACATAAAGGATGATTTTCCCAATAATGAGCTGGTAGTGCTGGTCGTTTAAAATCTTCATCACGATTTGAGACCAAAATCAATCGATATGATTCAGAATCAGCATCAGGATTACGATAAATAAATAAAATACACATAATTGGAGCAAATTATTTAAAAGCTGCAGAACAATGTCTGCTTATATCACAGCCTTTTGTTTTATACTACTTTTATTGTGTTTTATCATTGATAAGATTGTGTACTTTTCTATTATAAATTAAGATAATGTCTGATTCATTAATAATTGAAGACAAATTAATGAGATAGTAACATTCATTTGTATGAAGTATAATAAACCAAAACTAAGTTTTTTAATGTATAAATATATTTTTATAAAATAAAACGTAAAATTGTAGAATAATATAGATCATTTTAGTTATATATAAATATATAATATTATATTTTCTATCTTAATATCTTACATATTTTTGACATTTTCAATGATTAAATATTATTGTTCATAAAAATACATTATGCTATACATTTAAATACATAATATAAATAATAATTTACGTACAATATAAAATTACATAACAAAAATTGTAACTATGTACGTATGTAGATACAAAGAATATTACATTTATCTCTTTTGTCGTGTCAATATTTACATATGATTTTACACGAGTATTAGTTACTAACAGCTCCTTATTTGTTACATTTTTATTTTTTATTATAATCCTCAATTATTATATCTACACATTTTATATTTTCAATGTTTAAATATATTTAACATTTTATAGTAAATACGATATGGAACAGTACTATATAATATGTGAGTACATAGATATGGTTAGCTCATATATATCTTGAAATTATTGAATATATATATATATATATTATATATGTATAATTATGAAATTTACGTATTAATTTAAAAAAATATCATTTTAATTTAATTTAGTAATAAAGTCTATAATATAACAAAAAAATATTGTTATATTATAATTTGTAATGTATCTTATACTGAATATAAGCTATGTGAACTAAATATCATAAATAATTATACAAATTTTCAAAGTTTATAATAAAGTTTAAGAGAATTATTTGTCACTTTTTAAAAAAAAATTAGTCCTTTTTATGATTTATGTAATTATTTATAAAACTTAAAATTTTAGTTTAAGAACTAATTAAGTATAATAAGTTTTCAAAAATATATTGGTAATAAAATAAATTAGTATAACATTTCAATACAAACTTTATTGTATTGCTATTTGTATCATACACAACAATATTTTAAGTACAAGTTTACATAACTTTCTATTTATTTATTATAAATTAAAATTTATTTAAATATTCCAATATTTATTTGTTGTCAAATAAACGATTCTTACAAAATTTTTTAAAATGCTATGAAGTTAGTATTAAGCACTATAATTTATTTCAAGATCAGAAACAATAATAAAAAACAGAAACGAAATACTTATTTTTGGATATTTCTATTTAAAATATGTGTGTATTTAAACTCTTCTACATTTTACATATATATAGAATAATGCAATTTTATTAGCATAGAAATGTTAAATAACAAATTTTGTTTCAATAAACTTATATTTCTTAACATTTGTGCACTCTAATATTTTATTTTAATTCAATTATAATATTTATATTTACATAAGAATTTACATTTTAAAATGTATAGTAAAGTATAAGAAAGTGCTTTGATATCTTGTATATAATGTAGAATACAGATATTATATATCACATAAAACGAAAACTTACATGTAGCAAACATATATTAAAATATATCTGAAATTTTTTTTAATACTGAGTTTTAGACTAGATTTATATGACAATCAATAATTTATTAAGAAAATATAACAATTTGTAATAAACAGTATTAGCAATACAGCAATATTTTCATGAAACAGCAGGATATTAGTAAGATTATAACAAAATCTTATCAATGAAAACTTATTAGGAGACAAACTAATTATTAATATTATTTTTTATGTAATAATCATTCTTATGAAATTTAATGATATTTTGATGAAATCCATTTTTTTATATTTTATGATAAAAATTAATATTTTATAATTTGGGCATCAATTGTAAATAATCAATATTTTAAAAATTTAATAATCTTGCATTCATTATTAATTTCACATATTAAGTAAATTTATAATATATAATATAAAAAATGTCATGGATCAATGGAATATCTTCTTAGATCGAAGATCTAATTTGATTTTATAAAATTTTATGAGTTAAAATTATATTTATAATTCGATCTTTTTCTTTTATTAAAATTGCACAACAGGAATTTTAATGAAATAATATAATTTTAACATTATGTGTTTTCATTTATAATTTATAATTTACATCACCAAAATACCTAAAGACTTTTTAACATTGGATGTCTCTGGTAATGAAAGAGCCCATTTTCTTAGCCCTGTTAATAGAACTGAACTTGTAACTACAATTGCTCCTCCTACTGAATAAGGATTTGGTATTTCGTTGAAAAATAAAACCTGCCAAAAAAAGGCAAAAACTATGTCTGCTGACCTTGCTATTGCAACTGGTCCTGCTTGTTCCATCTGTAAAGCTAATGTTAGTAGTATTTGACCCCCAAAACTGAAAAGAGCAAGTGCAACAACTAAAAGTCTGTCAGTTCCACACCGAGGTAAGCACAATGCACCTATAGCCCAAGATATAACTATTGTTTGAATCAAGGCAAATGATCCAAAATTTGTCATAATTACTGAGAAATGAAGACCTTTTAAAGCTCGTAGTAAAACATATGCATTTGCACCAAAGAGAGTTGCAGAAAAAGCTGCTACAGCACCCCATAAGTCTGCATGTTGTGTTTTTATATGTCCATTTGAAAGCGATTCAATAGTATGTCCAAAGATGAGTGGTGGACGTGTTATTAAAATTACACCAATTAATGTCAAACAGACTGTTATAACATTAAATATCCCACAAGGCTCTTTTAAGAATATTCTTGCAAATATGGCTACAAATACAGGAACAGAAAATACTACAACAGATGCATCAGCTAATGGCATATGCCGAAATGCATAAAAACTTAACATGAGGCCAGTGGTCCCAACAAAACTTCTTAATACTAGCATTAATCTACGGCCCTTTGGAAATGGATGTTCGCCCTTATAAATTACAATTGGTATTGCTGGTAGTAATACACCCACAAATCGAAATGCTGCCAATTCCATTGGATTTACTTCTACTAAACCTTTTACAATAACACTACATAATGAAAAAAATAATGATGATAATGTTGCCAAGATTAGACCAAGATAAGGGCATGATTTGCACATTAGAATTGAAAATCGTTTTTGTTGTATTGTTGTGCTTTTTTCAATGTCAACATCAAGTAAATGATGCAGTTCAACATGTTCTGACATGTCTGAAAGAGAAAATAAAATTTAAATGCTTTCCATGGTTAAAAAGATAGAAAAATGATAAAAATATTATATCCCTATGTGCAATTTATCGTCGAAAAATATTGAAACATATAATATATAATAAATTGTTTAATTAATAATTAAATAAAAAAAAACAAAGAATGGTTCATTGATAATAAATTTAAGATTGTGAACTTGATTATTTAAAAATAATTTATTTTTCAAATATATATGTTTGTAACGTTATTTCAATAACATATTATAGTTGATTTTATGTTATCAAATGTTATAACTCACCTGCAATAGATACAATAAATGATTAATCACAGCATATAATTATTGGTAAAATTATGTAATAAACAATTACTGTAATACATTTATAAATTATTTGGAAGACTAAATTATTTTAAAAATTCGAATAATACATCTTTCTTCATTGCTTTTGACAATGTCCATCACATTTTCTTTCAATTTCTATTTTAATTAAAAGATCACGTTGTTACTTGCATGAAGTAAGCAACTCGTGTCTAGATCACAACGTAATAGAAATGTTTAATTTAAACTATATATTGCATTTAAAATATCAATTTCTAAGTTAAATTTTTAAAAATTTTAAGAACTATATTTTACATAAATACTATTAATAATAATATTAATAATAAAAGTAAAAAGCGACCAATAATTAATAAATATTAACATTTTTACTCATTTTCCACTTTTAATTCTATTATAGTCAATTATTAGTATATGTATATTAATATATTCAAACAGTATAAATTTAAATATTTTAATATCAAAATTTTAAATTAAAATATAAATTATTTTCATTCAACTTTCGCGGTAAACTAAAGATGGGTGGAGTCGATCTTTTATATAGACTGTAGCAATTTTGTTATTCGTAAATGATATACTAATAATAACTTAAAAGAATTAATAAATATCCTTTTCATTTCTTATTTCGTTTTATTTTCATGTTTTTTGTATTAAAATTACCATTTTTGTTCTAAATTACTTTTTTTTTTATAAGTGTGTCTACAAAAGTATTATACAAATGTAATGTAATGATTGAATTACTTCATTTTTGATGCTTTAATAATACATAATGCTTTTATTAAGTGTAATTTTGTCGAAACTTGTAATATTTGTATAGAATTCATTCATTTAATTAAATTATTGTATGATATTATTATATACAAACACATACATACTCAAACTCACATGCTCTAAATTATTGTTTGCATTACACCAATATATTCTATACTAACTTTAGTATGCTTTTCTGCATAAAATATACATACATATATAAAATTTATATACAAACTGTGTGAATTGAATATTTGATATTATTTATTACATATAAATTGATTAATATTGTATTGTCTATTTAATTAAATTAGTTTATTAAAAAATTTCTAATTTAATGGTTTTATGTGTATTTCTATTTATATACAATGCTTTTTCTTTTAATTTTGAATGTTTAGATAATCCCATATTTTCGAATACAAGCTAGAAATGTATTTTAGAATCTAATAATTTCCACCTACAAATACATTTTCAAAACTTGCAATAAATAAACGCCAAAAAATTGCTTTAATGTTAATTGTTAATTCTATGGGCTTTTAACTATTTACAATGAATTAATATCACATGCAAGTAATTTGATATACAAATGATTTACATAAAATCGCTAATTATTCTTTTTTTCATATATCAATATTTAAAATTACTTATATTTTACATACGCAATTGTACAATAGATAATTTTTAACCATATTTCCAGAAATATATGTATTTTCAGATGTGTAGGTGATCATGCCATCTGCAGGAACGAATTACTGAGTGTATATTGTTCTATGCCCACACAATGGTGTACGAAGTTCCTTCTAAAATACTGCTATTCATTGGTCGTATGTATGAATTTCATAGTGTTCGCAGGTTACAATAAATCAGACAATTTTTCAATTAAAGTTGAATTAAGTTTGGAATTGTAGTGTAGTGTGCAAGGACCATTAATCGTAAGATACAGAATCGAGAACTATTTAATGGATCCGACTATCGGTTGGTATCAACCGGAGCAGTTCGGCCCTGCTAAGGATTTGTGGTTACACATTTGGGAAGCTGAGAAAGGCCTGGATATTTTAACGCTGAAAAACGATTCGTCTTCGAATGTAATGGGCATGAAGCTCCAGCAAGACTTTATATCTTTGGATTCGCTTAATTCTCGTACAGGGGACCGTATGCAACATAATACTTGTAATAGCTATTATAATCCATCACGTAGGAAAGGTGATAATCGTGCTAGTACGTACGGCATGAACTACAATTACGATGCCTTAGTTGGCGAATACGGCGGTTGCCCATGGCGGGTACCTAATAAACATTATTCGAAAAGTGTTATTGGGTAAGTTTTGTTATTAAATTTTAATGTATATATGTATATGTTGTTTGTCTTGTGAAAGTTAAACTATTTGCTTCGTGTAATCTGTCCATATGGGTATGATTAAGGTTATGTGTGCACACTCGTTTACAAATAGAATATAACAAGGTCCCTTTATAATTAGATATGCTACAAATACGAATCTATTTTCTTATTGATAATGGGTAAAACTCATTTTTTTAATTGAATAATGTTTGAAAAATTTTATCAACGTATCTAGTTTTTACTAATATATATGTTGATTTTGTAAACACATGGATGTTTATGATTATTTAAGTTTATATTCACCAACACTCTGGTATTCCCTTCAAAGACATAAATAGAATATACAAGAGATAAATTTAATAATAATATTAGAAATTTTGTTTAAATTTTTTTATTTTTCTGTTATCTGTTTTATTTTTGTCAACTGTAATTTTATATGTCACTTTAAGTATCAAATTTAATTTTTCTAACATCCAATTTTTCAGTTTTTATATTTTATTTTACGTTATCCTTTATTCTAGTACCTACATGTATAAAATTTTACAAAAACAGTTTATTTAAAATATTTTTATATTTAGAACATTAACAAATCTATTCATTGTGATAGTTTATGCTTTTAAAATATGAAGTTTTTATTTAAAATAAAAGTATATTTTATTTAATATAAATTTAATATTTATTTGTTTTAAAATACGAAAGAACTAGTTTGAATTTAAAAATGTCTATAACATCAAACATATTAAATATTTTAGTTTAACATATTAAATATTTTAATAACAAATCTATAAATATAAAAAGTCATGTTATTATACAGTAACTTCGATAGAAGTACTTATATTTTCTTATGTTTTTTTAATCTTTGTTATTATTTATTATAAATATTTGATATTTTTAATAGTTTTAAAAACCTAATCTGATATTTGGTTTTATAATATTTAATTAAAAAATATAACATATTACAACCTCTTTGAAATAAGTAAAAAATTATCACTAACAGATTATATTTTTTTAATTTGCTATTTAGATTACATGAAGAAATTGAAGATTTTTTTGCTTATATGTGTCCCTCTAATGAAGAACATAGTTTACGAATGCGTGTTGTCAAAAGGATAGAACAAGTAATATATGATCTGTGGCCAGATTCTAAAGTTGAAGTATTTGGCAGCTTTCGCACTGGTTTATATTTACCTACAAGGTACATATCATTGTACATATTTAAAATGGAATCTATTTAGTAATATGTTCACATGTAAAATATATATATACATATTAATAATTAATTATTATTCAAAATTCTTTAAATGTATAAAGTTTATGCTTTTCAGTGATATAGATTTAGTAGTAATAGGAATGTGGACAAATCTTCCATTACGCACTTTGGAGCGTGCTTTATTGGATCAAAATATAGCTGAACCCTCTTCTATTAAAGTTTTGGATAAAGCTAGTGTTCCAATTGTGAAGTTGACTGATAAAGAAACTGAAATTAAAGTAGATATCAGTTTTAATATGAATAATGGAGTTAAATCTGCAGATTTGATAAATTCTTTTAAAAAGAGGTTCCCAGTATTGGAAAAACTAGTTATGGTATTAAAACAATTCTTATTACAAAGAGACCTGAATGAAGTGTTTACTGGTGGAATCTCGTCATATAGTTTAATACTTATGACTATCAGTTTTCTACAGGTAAAATATTAATATTCTTGTTTCAAGTAATATTTAGATATGAATTGAAAACAAATTTTGAGTCAGAAATAAATAATTTAATAATTACGTTTTACAAGATTGATATATTAGCATTTTGACTTATAAAAAATAACTTATGTTTTCTAAAGTAAACAATTTTTTCCTATTATATGAATGAAATTTTTTATTTCAGTTGCATCCCAGACAAAATGCTTATTGCTCGAATGCTAATCTTGGAGTACTATTAATAGAATTTTTGGAATTATATGGTAGGAAATTTAATTATGTTAAAACAGGAATTCGTGTAAAAGATGGTGGTACTTACATATCGAAAGAAGAGGTAAATTATATCTATGTGGCAGTTTTTCGTACAAAAATAGTACATCTGATAAAATATGTATTATATTTATTTTAGAATATTTTATGTGAAGTATTTTAAAATAGTGTATTTATATAAATAGTGACTTTTGAGATGAATGTAATTTGTATCTTGTATTGATTTTAGGTTCAAAGAGATATGATAGACGGCCACCGACCTTCTTTATTATGCATAGAAGATCCACTTACACCCGGAAATGATATTGGTCGTAGTAGTTATGGTGCTCTATATGTAAAAGATGCATTTGATTGGGCTTATTATGTCCTTTCACAAGCAGTTAGTCCTTTAAATATTTTAGTTAATGATGCAAATAAAGTAAGGTAAGATTATATGTAATATTTATATTATTTTTATATTTTATGATTCTATTAATTATTTTGAAAAAATATATTTTGTACAGTATATTAGGAAGAATAATCCGTGTGACAGATGAAGTAATAGAATATCGTAAATGGATTAAAGAAACATTCCCACTACCTTTGAGTGAGGCAGATTCATTGTCAAGTTCTACTGGATCTGATGCTTCAACACTATCTGCTCCAGCTAGTGACACGGTAAAAATTTATGATTTTTCAAAATATAAAAAAAATCATTATAAATTAATTACATTTACCATTTTTTTTTTTTTTTTTTTTTATCAATCTTATCAGGATTCTGAATGTAGTCGTGGAAATTCTCCCAATGCTAGTGGAAAAGGAGGAGACAGAAATAAAGAAAGACATGTATATAATAATCAACATACCCACCATCATTCACAATGGAAAAAACCATTTAAAGGGACTGCTCATGGTATATAATTGTGTTAAATTATATTAAATTAAATATTGATGTATTTTATAATCTACAATTATTTTAAGATTTTTGGTAATATAATAATTAAAAATTAATTAATGTAATAATTAAATATTTAAAGCGACTAAAAAATGATTATCCATTAAATTTAAAAACATTTTATATGTTTTAAATATACTTAAAAAATATGCATTTACAGGTAATCATCATCATAGTTCCAGAGGAAATTATCATCATCGTGGAATAAATAATAATATAAGTGGACAAAGTAAAGCAAAACACTCTCTTCATAGTAATGGAAATAATAATAATAGCCACAGTCCAAGTTCAAGATCACAAACCGTTAAACGAAAAAAACAGTGTATTACACCTCGTGGTACTGGAGATTGTGTACGGTGATGAAATGTGCAAAATAATGTTGGACTTTGTTTCATACTTAAGTAGAGAGCTCAATATCATAATCAATAGTGGTGAAAAGACATTGATTAACTTTCATCACGCAAACTAAATTATCTTTTCCATTTTAGAGGGGCTCTATCTCTACAATTATGTAGAGTTAACAAACTATATTTTTTTTTTCTTATATGGACAAAGAAGTGGCCCCTATATATGTAGTTAAGTTCTTCATTTCACCAGAAAAATGTTTATTCTGTACGAAAATTTATATACCAAGAACGTACAGAATTGTAATATAGATTGGTTCAATTTTATTTTTATTTTGCATTACTGCACATATTACAAATAAGATTTATAAATTATAAAATATATAATTTTTTATTAATTATTATTTACAAACTTATTGCAATCTTTAAATAGCAATTGTGTTCATAATCACGGTAAACTCATTGTAACACATTTATATAATATGAACGGTATATACAGATTATTTACAGTGCAGTTTTCTTAAAGATTTCATGAAATTATAAAACAAACTCTAATAATGATGACAAAGACTTAGTTTTCTATATGGAACTATATTCTTATAATAAAGTGGTAACAGAAAAATTGGTGATATTGGAACTTACCTATTGTAAATATTGTAATATATATTATCAAACATAGAAAAATAAGTCTAAGAGTTACCTATTACATTTTTTTTATTTTGTACGTATCTAAAATAGTGTTTGTTATAATAATTTTATCATTTAAAATCATGGATTAGTCCATGGATATGTGAGAATTACGTATTTTTTTCCATATGTAAATCCAGTAGTTGTGAAAATGTTTTGGTATATCTTTTGGATTTTAATAAAGTTATAAGTTCCGTGTGCCGGAGATCAACAAATTTTGAATAAAAAATATTTTTTAAAATATTAACTTATTGAAGAAAAAAAAAATGATACACTTTAGATTTTTACACTGTGTTCTTTAAACTCGTAATTGTGCATAATGCTTTACTTTTTATACAGAATTACTGATTTCATAACACTAGTTTGTAATTTTTAGTCTCCCCTGAACAATAATACATTATTTTTATATTATGAAAATAATAGTAAACATATACATCATGGTCGAATGTTACACAAATTCTGCGCACGAATCAGACATTGCATTTAAACATGTTCTATGTTATTCTTTAAAATCTGAGCAACATTTCAAAAATTTTGTATGTGACAATATATGCAGACCTTTGTATTATTGAAAACTCCAAATGTATTTGTGAAAATTATCTTATATCTAATTTATTATTTAAAATTACATTCCGTTCTTTAATACAAATCTTCGTTTCTTAAATTAAAAAAAGATAACTGCGTAAAAATAGTAATTTACAAATTAAGAATCTGTGTCCGAATTGCATTTTGTGTTAATGCAAATATGATTTAACCAGTGTCTCCCATTAAATTCGAGTGCAGAGATAAATAACTTTAATATTCACTTTCCTTTAAACTTTTTAATTCTTGCGCAGTATTCAGTGATATTATTTAACAAAGAATTGTTCATAAATAACATTGTAAGCTGTGATTCAATTTTATAATTAGGATGTCAATTACTCGTTACAACATGCATATATGTATGCATACATGTATGTATGATGTATGAATGTGAATAGTAAAATGTGAATTCTACATTCTTGAAGCTATATAATTACTATTATTATTATTGTTATTGTTACTACCGCTAATTAGTCTGCAAAATGATTACAAATTTTTAAATTATGATCAAATTTTCGTAAGAATTTATTATTAACAATTTGTGATTTATGTTTATCTATTTTCAAAAATGACTTAAAAATGTAAAACCAGAAATTAATAAACAGTAATAACAGTTTTTTGTATCATTGTTATTATCTCTCTAATTTTAAATAATATAATTAGAGTTTATTAAACGTCATATTTAAAATTAGATTTAGAATTAAAATGTTTCCTACGTTTAACAAATTTTAACGAAAATAAGATATTAAAATTTTTCGTTACATTATTTATATCTTTAAATTAAATATCGTGATGTAACGATAGTTAATTTTTTTTTTTTTTTGTATAATCCAATGTTAAGTATCTTAAGTAATAAAGTTTACATAATTAAAAAAGAATTTTAACTATAAAAGATAATGGAAATAAAAATAGAACACTTTTACTTAATTATATTATTAAGTAAATAATATCATTAAATCGTAATATTTTTATGTATCATAAAATATATACCCTGTTATTTAATTAAGCATTCATAACCCAGGATATCAGGACTGAGATTTGATGAAAAAAAAAGAGGAATATTTACGAATGAAATATCGATATCCAATATGAATACATGAATACATTGCATACTCGATAATAATTGAAAAAGCAATGGACGTTAAAATAGATAGAAATCCTGTTACTAATACAAATATCTATGACTGAACATATACAAATATTGTATAATAAAATTTTATTTCAAGAGAATTATTTAATTTATTAAAATGTTTTCCTATTAATCTTACACAGAATAATTATATTAAACAATTTCGTGTATACAATACACTGTATTTTTTTACTACATTTCTAAACATAAGTTAAATTTATTTTTTTGCACTAATTCCACTGATAGGGTTGACTTCAAGTAGTTGCATACGTTCCAGTTGTGCAAGTCTATTTTCCAAATTAAATGATTCTGGTAATGGTGGATATGCTGCAAGATTCCACATTATATAACATTAAACAAGTAAAAAATTTAAATGTTTATATACTTAAAATAAAATACTTTCTATGATTAATTTACCTAAAATATTAAATGTTAATTCTAATAACGCAAATTTCTCAATTTTATATTTTAATCCTATTTATAATGATATTTTGTCATAATAAAATGTTAAAAACTTTATAAAATTATAATTAATTATTTAATTTGTAAATTATATTAAGAAATATATTTTTTGAATGTATGTGAATAAATGTATTATACATTTTTAAACTCACCAAAAACTTTGAGAAACATTATTACCCAAATACTAAAAGCTACACCAATAAGAGCTAATCCAAGGGCTCCTTTCCATTCTCCATTTGGAGCCTGGAATTCACTAAATGTTTGACGAAAACTGGCTCGATATAATGCTTTTTTTTCATCTATTGATAATTTTTTCCAATCACCTTTCTCTTTCTCCCGCAGTGCCTGGATAAAGATAATGTTAAATAAGATATAAATTGGTTACAAAATAATATTTAAAGACTAAATTTTATAAATTATGTTTAAAATGCTGTAAGTATAATAATTACCACTATATCAGGAGTATTTGCTTTGAAACGAATTGCAGGTAATGGAAAATCACATCGATCTAAGTAAGCTGCTTCTCCATTCCATCCATGACCTACTACATCTCTATTGCCAATTTTATCAGGTATATCAGGTACTCCTGATAAACAACGAATGGAATTTGCATACTTTGGAGCTGTTTGTCGTAAGCAAGATAGCAATACTTTGTTTGCCATTGTGTTCTAAAATTAATATTATTTAATATGATGATATCAAATATACAGTAACATGTTATACACATACAATAATTAAATAAAATTTAATAGTTATAAAATAAAAATGAAACAAAATTTTTCTCACTATAGTTTTAAGTATAAGTTGTAATGTCGATTTAATTAATGTATGTTAAAATACATTGCAATTGAATGTAAATCTTATTTTATATATATATATATATCCAATTTTCCATGATTTATGATTGAAGAAATGTTTCAGTGAAATAAATTTCAAGTGCAAATATAAATTTGATTGTTACATAAAATTATAAGAATAAATATTAATAATTCTAGATGACATAGTTCCTCACGTCGAATTTATATTTTGAGATAATATCACACATTGATCGCCATACCTTTTGGTTATCTAACAACCAAATAGCATCTTTTATTAAAAAATTTATTTAACAAAATACATTTACATTTATTGCAGTAGCATAGTAATTTATTACATTAAAATTGCATGTTTGCTTATCATTATAATATTTATCAATCACACAAAATAATGTAAATTTATTACGTAAAAACTTACGTTCTTTGGCAAGCCCAATTCCAGAAGAATCGAAATGGCGACCAGGGTGGTTAAATCACAGTTACACATATAGTCATACAATGTTATGCATTATTGTGTTAAGTATCGAACTTTAAACTATCGATACATAACAATCGATTTTTAAATAGCAACAGTTAGTACACATTAAAAGCAGTTCGGTTTTTAATTTTTTTGTAGCAGTGTAATCTTAGAAAAATTAAGGAAAAGTTTGATTTTAATACACAATTTACTTTTATATAATTCATATGTGTATACGTAGTTAACATTATATCATAATTATAAATAATTATAAAAATCCATAAAAAAGATCTTTTTTTTGTGGATTGAATTCTTTTTCTTCATTTATATACTATTTGTGATGTATGAAAATTGTGCTAAATTGTCAAAATAGAAATCATAGTTATTGTATCATTATTATATAGCGAATTATTATGTTAGAATGTAATTAAAAATGGATAGTTTTTTCAACAGTGGAGTAAACAATGCAGAGTTGGTAAAATATAATATAAATACATTGTTATAAGTTCTGAACAACTATAATACCAAAACATAATTATTTATTTCAAAAGTATTTTCTTCTGTATGAAAAATCTTTTATTAGGTCATTCATTGTAATAGTCTTTGCAATACTTTCGTTAGACATACATATATTTCTATCTATTATATAGGGATTACAGGGATATTAAAGGATACATTTTATAAAATATGTACATATGTGGAAATGTTTAAAATGTATCTACCTTATCGACTAAGTAAATTTATATAGGAAAGGACATATGAAGTAGTCTCTATTTCTGGCTATAGGATCGTACAATTCGTGTGATTATAAACCCGCGGTTGCTTACGGCATGGCGTTAGCCAAGTCGTGTGTCATCGTGCGTTGCAGATGAAAAGTGTAATACATTTGTAACGCTTTTGTTTTACATGTTGTATACTAATGAAAAACTTTTTATACAAATTTTAACGACAGGTGAGAATTTCAGAGAATGATAACACCAGTGCCTCAGAAGATAAAATGATGATATTTGTGAATGAACAGAGTTAAAGATACAGTGAGGTTTTGATATGGCGGCAAATTTTACTTTGATGATACGTTACAAACTTCTGTGGTACTTCTTAGTTGTTTCATCGGTTATTCAAGTGTGAACGTTTTGTAGTTTTTATACCAAATTTCAATCAAGATGAATTTATTTACAGCATTACGTTAAAAAATTGAAATGCTGTATATTTGTGCATTTTGAAGCACAGTGGCGACATATCATGGCGGCGAAATTTTCTTAGCTGCAGTTGTGTATCTCGATTATTTTCATACTTAATACGTACGCTAAGGAATTTCTTTGTAAAGTAATACTTAGTAAATTGATATATTGTATATGAAATTCTTTTTTATAAAATCTCTATCCATATTTTGGTTTTGTGCATTCAAGTGATATAATTACATTGTATTAGCCAGGCATAACATGTAGTTAATCATTTCTGTGTATATCCTTTACATTGGCATCATGACTTAGATGTGAAATTGTAATACAATAGTTCCATATTGATATGAAGTATTAATGTATGTTCATTTGTGCATACATTTATTTTGCATGATTTTTAAGATTGTTCAAGATGAACAAGCGCCGTAGAACATCTTCAGTTGCAAGTCGAGGCACAGAAGATGATGGTGATGATATACCACCTGAACCAACAAAGAGACGGAAAAAAATAGATCCTGTAAGTTGAAATCACTTTCAATAAAAATTTCAATGATTGGCCTAACGTTAATATTTATTTTATTAAATATTTAGAGTGACCTGTGCCAACAGTTATATGATGTTCTACGTAATCAAAAGAAAGAAGATGGAACATTATTATGTGATGCATTTATACGTGTGCCTAAACGTAGACAAGAACCAGGTTATTATGAAGTTGTAACAAATCCTATAGACCTACTAAAGGTTCAGCAGAAACTAAAAACCGATGAATACAGGGACATGGATGATTTAGCAGCTGATATTCAACTCATGGTTAATAATGCAAAAGCCTTTTATATGGTAATATATATTGATTTTTGCAAGAGCATATAAAACAAAATATTATCTTAGGTTAATATTTAAGTTAACTACTAATACTATTTCGAAATAGCGTACATCTCCTGAATATAAAGATGCCACTGAACTTTGGGAATTATGTATAAATACAAAAAATCGTATTATGGAAGAATATGAAGATCCAGAACCTAAAGGAAAACTTATTTTAAAAGTAGGACGACTGGTCAGTAAAAATGTAATTATATACAATAGTTAATCTATAAATGTAATAATGTAATGTTAATTATACAGGCTAGGAAAGTTACAACGAAACAAGAAGATGCAGAAGATACATCTGAAAGTTCTACAAATCCCGATGAAGAGACAATGCAACAATTCGAAGATTTATTTGCAGCAGTTATGACAGCAACAGATCCAACTGATAATAATAGACCATTGCATACAATGTTTCAACTTAAACCATCTAAAAAAGTTTGAAAATTCTTATTGATGAAATATTAATATATTGTTGATTTAAACAAATTTATTATATGACGAATTTTATGTTTTCAGTTATATCCAGAATATTATGATGTAATTGAAACACCAGTAGATTTAAAAACAGTTGCACGAAAAATTCAAGAAGGAGCCTATAGTAGCATTACAGATATGGAAAAAGATTTAATGCTAATGTGTCGTAATGCTTGTCAATTTAATGAACCTGGTTCTCAAATTTACAAAGATGCAAAGCTTTTAAAGAAGATCATTACTGCAGCAGCAAGAAAGCAAGATATTGGATTAAGCAGTACTGTTCCGAAAATTGCAACAACCGCACCGTCAACAAGAAGTAAAAGAGGAAGTCGTACTATGGCACAATCTTTAATAGCTCAAACTGCAACATTACCTGATGAAGACGAAGAAAGTGATGATGAAGAAGAAGAACCTGCGGAAACTGAAGAAGCTGATAATCCACAATGGCAATTATTTCAAACTATCAGAACAGCACCTAATAATCAAGGTACTGTATGAAATACCTTTCTAAAATATAATATTGACAATCAAAGACATTTTACAATAATAATATTGAATAACTTTTTTTATAAGGAGTTAGAATGAGTGAATATTTTTGGAAACTGCCATCAAAAAGGTTATATCCTGATTATTACAAAACGATAAAAAATCCTATTTCTTTATTACAAATTCGTACTAAGATAAAGGTAATTAGTAAAAATATAAATTTTGATATCTTGTAAGTTATTCTTGTTTAATCCATAATTTTTGTAGAAAGGTGAATATGGTACTGTGAGTGAAGTAGCTGGTGATATGAATATTATGTTTGAAAATGCAAAAAAGTATAATATTCATACATCTAGACTATATAAGGTATTAAATATTAATTTAAGAATTTTATGTTTTTAATATATATTATTTATTTACATCAATGTTTCACACACAGAGCGCTGTAAAATTACAAAAAATTATGCAAGAAAAAGTACAAGAACTATTAGAATTTGATCAGGTAAACAAAATTTTATTCTAGTAAAGATATATTATTCCCTTTAAAAATTTTATATTTTTAATATTAATAAAGTTATTTATTTTTTATTCAATAAATAACATTAACAATATAGTAAATAAACAATTTTCAATTTGTATGAATTACTAATGCAAATTTTAAATTAGAAGATTTGTTATATTAAGTATTTTATTTGAATTTTTTATGTGTTTTTTACATTGTATTTATAGGATTCAGATTCAGATAGTGAATTCGAGAATAGTTCTCATCAACCTAAGCTTATTAAACGTGCTTCAAATCTGTTGACACGTGGAAAATATAAAGACAATATACCATTGAAGAAAAGATTGTATGCACTAGTTAAATGTGTTATAGAATACGTTGTAAGTAATTCCAATTTCAATTGTTGAAACTGAAGCTTAACAATACAGAATTTATTATATTATAGTGTGAAGATGGTCGACAACCAATGTTAATGTTTATGGAAAAGCCCTCTAAAAAATTGTATCCAGATTATTATCAAGTAATAGCAGAACCAATTGATATGTTAGCCATCGAGGCTAATATTAAGGCAGAAAAATATCAAAGTGAAAACGAATTAATACAAGATTTTAAGGTATATTTTTTATATTATTATATTTGACTAATATATTTTACATTGATTTCATTTTAGTTAATGTTTAATAATTGTCGTCAATACAATGAAGAAGGTTCTTTAATATATGAAGATGCAAATACTCTTGAGAGAGTTCTAATGGATAAAGTAAAAGAATTAGGTCCTTTACCTGAAATACCTAAACCTACAAAGTCAAGTGCATCTACTCCTACTAGAAACGTTGGGTATGTAGTATTTTAATCTTCAAATACCAGTTGCTTGAGCAATGATGTCAAGTCATTGTGCTTCATATTGACAAAGATTAGTAATAAATTTTGTTATTATTATTTCTTAGCACTATTTTATTATTGTTTAAAAATAATAAAATTTAATTATTTTATTGAACGATACAATAAAAAGATACAATAAAATGATAAACTGTAACAACAAGCGATTTACAAATTGAGTTAAAATAACCCAATATAATATAATTATAAAAATATTGAACTAATTTCGTAAAAAATATCGTAATCAATAATAATTTGTAAATGTATTATATATATTTTATTTAATATATTACATGTATCTTTTTATAATACATAGGAGACCTAAGAAAGTTGTGCCACTACATTTACAAAAATTGAAAACTATGTATGATACTATAAAAGATTATCACGACATAAAAGGGAGGCAGTTATCTTTAATTTTTATGAAATTGCCAAATAAAAATGAATATCCTGATTATTATGAAGTTATTAAACAGCCAATGAATATGGAAAAAATAGCATCCACTTTAAAGAATAATGGATATGAGAATTTGGATGAACTTGTATCAGATTTCATATTAATGTTTGATAATGCTTGCAAGTATAATGAACCTGATTCACAAATATATAAGGTTTGTATATTGATATGCATGTACATTTATACATTTTTAAAATACTTATTTAAAATAAAATTTTTATCAAGTTATTAGTTTAATTTTTAAAAGAAAAAATGTTATATATAATCATT